TTTTGCTTTGGTTTTTGAGTGTTCACAGCATCTTTTCTTGTTTTTTAATTCTGATTTTTTTTTTTTGTTGTTTATATTTGGGTGCTTTCTTATGATGAGCCTTTTTGTTATCTTCCTTCTTGTAAATATTTCTTCTTGGTGATTTCTTAGTGGTTACCACATATGTTACGTTATACAGTTCACAATTACAACAATATTTTAACATACAAACAACAGTTAATGTACAACCTTAACATAATAAATCAGTATTTCCCTCTCTCTTCCCTCTTTTCCCTTCTCCTTTCTTTCTTCTCTTTTATTTTTTCCCCCTGGGTATGGATACACCAAACGAAACCAAACTCACAGCTGCTAAGCCAGTTTTGACTCATAGCAACCTCCATTGGGTTTCCAAGGCTGTAAAACTTTATAGAAGCAGATTGCCGTATCTTTCTTACATGGAGCAGCTCATGGGTTTGAACCATTGACCTCTGTTTGGTTAACAGCCAAATGCCTTACCTTCTACACTGCCAGAGTTCCTTTTGTATATGAATAGTAGTATTTATTTATTGTTCTTGCCTTTCCATTTGGAATACTCCTTGAGTAGTACTTTCAAAGTTGGTATTGTCATGAGAAATTCCAAGAGCTTCTGTTTGTTTGGAAATGTCTTGATTTTCCCCTTATTTTTGAATGACAACTTTGTTGGGTAAAGAATTCTTGGTTGGCAATAGTTTTCATTCAGTATTTTATATACGTGTTGCTCCGTTGTCTTCTGCTCACTAGAGTTTCTGGGGAGAAATCCACATTGATTCTTATGAAAGGCCCTTGGTCTGTTATATTACATTTTTCACCTACTGCTTTCAGAATTCTCTCCTTATCTTTACTTTTCAGGAATTTTATTAGGATTTGGCAAGAAGTTGATCTTCTTCTATTTCTTCTGTTTGGAGTTAGTGTTGCTTCCTATATTTGCTGGCTTGGTTCTCTGTTAAGGTCTGGGAAATTCTCTCTGGTTATCTCTTGGAAAATTGTTTCTATTACTTTTTGTCATAGTGGTCTGGATTTTCAATAATTCTAATGTTAGATTTCTTAATTGAATTCTATATTTGCATTTGGATTTGTTTCATTTTCTTTGTTCTTTTCTCTTATTTCTCTTGAGACTTGATAAGTTCAATTACTTTGCCTTCTAGTTCATTTATTCTGTCTTCTATCTGTTTGACTCTATTGTTGAGTGTTTCTCTTGCTTCTTCAATTCCGTTGCTTGATTCTTCAGTCCAGTTCCTTTTTTTTTTTTAATGCTGTCAGTTTCTTTGTTGAGTCTCTCATTTTGTTCCTCCATTTGTTCCCTGCTCTCCATTGGTTTGTTTTCTGTTTGATTTTTTGCTTTCTTTAACCATAATAACCCCATAGTCTGAAAATCATCATTTTTTCCCATTAATCTGATCTCTATAGGAGAAATTTCCTCTTCTTCATGTTTTGCATTTGATTTGTACTTCTCTTACGAATTTGTGTTTTACTATTTTTCTTTCTTAAATTTAGGCCATTCTGTTATTACTATTTTTTTAAATTTTGTATTCTGGTTTTTGTGGGAACATTTTCTGGTTGGGTACGTTGGTGGTGCAGCAGCCAAGCATCTGGCCGCTAACCAAAAGGCTGTGTCTCATACACACCAGCTACTTTGCAGGAGAAAGACTTGGCACCTGGCCTCCACCAAGACTCATAGCCCTGGGAGCCCCATGGAGCAGCTCCACTCGACCCCACAGGATTGCTATGAATCGGAATCCACCCAGTAGCAATGGGCCTAGTACTTTTCCTGAGACCCACTAGAAGGCACTGTTGTCCTTAGGGTTTTTTCAGCCCTGTTTCAGGAATTCTGAATGCTTGATCTCTAGAATTCAATGCACATGTGCTAGGGCATGGGTTAGCTGGTCTCAAATGCCCCCATAAGTATTGGGGCTTGACTTTCCTGTGGTGAAGGTGAGGGGCTCTTCATCTTTGCCTGCACAAGCTCTTCTACAGTGCCTGCTGTGGGCAGAGAGCTAGCTGTTTCCCTCTGTATTGCCCATCTCTCTGAAGTTTTCCCCTCACCCTGCTACCTTTGCAGTTGTTCCTGGTCTTAGTGCATATACATCTCAGGCCTCAATCCTTTCACCTCTCCCAGCTGCACGGCCCACAAACTCCCATGACCAACCTGCATCATCTTAAAAAATCAGGCAACAGTTTCCTCAGATTAACTCCCTTTCTGTGTTCCCTGTTTGGAGTGTTGCCTAGCCCCATCCCAGAATGGCTGCAATAAGCAAGCGCTCAAATGTTAGCAAGTAGCTTCTTCCAGTTTCTGTGTCATCCTCACTCCTCCTCTCCCCTGCTTCTGGACTCATTCCTACTGTCTCACCTGCTGTCTGCGGTTCTGAGATCTGAGTCTGTGCTTGTTTGTATTTATTGTTCAGTGGGTTGACTGCTAGGGGAGTAAATGGAAGCATCCACTCACTGGCCATCTTGCTCTGCCCTCACAGTTCATATACTCTTTCAACAGCTTTCTCAGGAGTTGATTTTAGGCTACAGTGCAAGAATATGTTTTAGTAGAGGGAGACACTGGAGTGAAGTAGATGTGGGTTTGAGTCCTGGCCATGCCACTTGACTAGCCATGTGGCCCTTAAGCAAGTTATCCAATCTGAGCATCAGTTGATTTATTAGTGAAACAGCTGTAATGACAAGTCTTATCTTGCAGGTATTTTTCAGTTTTATGGGGTTTGTTATATATTTTCTTCATAAGTCCAAAACTGTAATTCTCATATAGATAGACCTGAAGTTGTAGGAGAAAACTAGTCTTACTCTAAATGAGCAGATTCCCCAGCTTTTATTCTTGGTTAAAGAATTCAGCAGTCATGGGATTTATTACACCTTTATGCACAAAGGGAGAGAAGGGGGTTACTTTAAAGCTCTTCTTTAGCAGAGGGTAGCGTTTCAAAGGTCATAAAAAGAACTGAAAGGACAATTTTTCTAAAGCACGGTGAACAAGAAAGGAATTGCATGTGATTACAAGGAGCTATAAGTACAGACTGTAGACCAGGTTAAGGATTTGGGAATTTTTCCTGAGAGAAATGGGATACCATTAAATGTTTTTAAGTAAAGAAGTGGCATGATTAGATTTGTGTTTTAAAAGACCATTATTGCTAACATTTAATAAATTAATAAATTGGAAGGGGGCAAAATGGGAATAGTGAGCTATTGTAGTCCTGTAGGAGAGAGGTGATGGTGAATTTTGCCTAAAGTGGTAGCAGAGGTGTAGATCATTGGCTTAGATTTGAGAGAGATTTAAAGAACCAGCAGACTTGGTGATAGATTGTGTATGGAGCAAAGGGAAAGAAAGACATTTCAGGATGACTCACAACTTGGACAACTGGTTAAAATTTATTATTTTAGGATTTGGTAATGAGTCCATATTCATCTTATTCACTTCTTTTGTTACTGTTACACCTTATTCCCAGTTGAAAAGTTCAAAATTTTTCATCTTTTCATGCCAGTTTCCCTAATTTGTGATCATTATATTTGTAACATTTTTAGACACATTATACCTGTCCAAAGATAAAGAAACCAAAAATGCATACAGTATTCTAGATTCTGTAAAATAATACAATAGTGGTTTTTTGTTGTTGTTGTTGTTTTGTTTTTTATTAGTTTCTAACTTATCTCCCAAGAGGCTACACAAATTTGTGGGGCATTTTTTATCAGAACCTATCTTCTGAATATAATGTAACAATGACTCTAGTGCACCTTTTCCCAGCCACGTTTATTCTCTTTGTACTTTATTCTAAATATTTTTGGGCTTTTCATTAAAACAAAAGAGTATATATGTGCATGTGTACTTTATTTTATAATGGTAGTGATAAATAGCATCACTAATTCCCAATTACAGTGCTTCCCTCTCCCCTGCCTCTGAAAGAGAACAACTCTGATGAATTCTGTACAATTGTTTTGTTGCTTTTCTTTATAACTTCATCACAAATGTATATACCTCTAAATAATAATCAGATTTTAACCTTTGCATGAGTATCATATATATATTTTATTTTCCTACTTACTCTTTTCATTTAATGTTGTTTTTGATATTGATACATGTGGGTGGGTTAGTTCATTCTTTTTTTTTTTTTTTTTTTTTTTTTGCTCCTGTATAATATTCCAGGGATCTATGGTGGCATAGTGCCTAAGGCATTTGACTGCTAACCAGAGGGCTGGCGGTTCAAACCCACCAGCCACTCCTTGGAAGGAAGGTTGGGCAATCTACTTCCGTAGTGATACTGCCTTGGAAACCCAAGGAAGGGTCGCTATGAGTCAGATCTGACTCCACAGCAATGCATTTTGTTGTTGTTGTTGTTGTTTGTTTTGTTTTTTTGGTATAATATTACGGTGTATGAATATACCACAAATTATTTACCCATTCAACAGCTAATGAACATTTGAGTTTTCCCTAGGTTTTGACTATTATGTACAATATTTCTACCTCTGTTTTTTGTTTGTTTCTTCGTTACCCTGATTTCCCTTCCTTATACCACTGTGATAACAGTAAGCAAAGATAAGCACCCATGTTACATTTTCCCAAATGTTAATAAATACACATTTATAATATAGCAATTCAAGTATACTATACATTTGTGATACCAAAGAAAGCACTTCTCATTTTATCTCAGTGATCAAATTTGCAAATTATCACCATAGGTCATTTAGGCTGTACCTGATCCTACTATGGTACTGCCAGAAACTGAAACTTATCTTTTATCTGTTTCTGAAGAAACAAGAACAGTCACTATTACAACTTCCATTTATTCTTTTATGGCCTAGTTTGAACATTTTCCCATTAATTGGTTTTGAGCTCAAACTAGGCTCCATTGCCATGTGTCATGACACAGAACCATCATATTTTTTACTCCTCCATAGTGTCATTTACTTGAGACAGAAATACAGCAGGAAAGATTTGGGTCTTGTATTGTTTGATTTTGCTATTCCTTCTTCATTGTCTCTCTCCACAGGAGTACCTTCTCATGATGGGACTACAAAGCTGGCAGTTCTGGGGTGCTACTTTTATTACATTCTTCCTGACGCTCTTGGTTACCATCAGTTTAATGACTGTTTGCCTCTTCGCTAAGGCAAGTATGGTTGTTGAGGCCAATTTAATCTGTTAAAGTTCTCAAGTTTGGAGAGAAGCTGGGTATGGGCTGAGCGATACTAGGGAGGCTGCTGAGGAGATGAAGTCATTACTTTGAGCACATAAACATACTCCAGTTAGCAAAGGGGATGTGCTCCTAGGAAGGGTATACTCACTGACTCACTGCTATCTGAGTTTATTTTAGCCTTTTCCTTGTTGTGATGCATTCCCAAAATTATACATAGTCAGGCTCTCTCTTGTTCCCTTCGGGCTCCCTGAAGTCCTGACATGCCTACAACCATAATTCCTCCAGCTACTAAGTAGGTAATTGTTGGTCCCGTCTTTGCCAGCTGCAGTGATGTTTAGAATATCCCTCCCAATGTCAAAGAACTTTGAATTCTTAACTACCTACCTACCTATTGGAGAAAAAAAAAAAAACTCTTATGAAATATTTCAAACATTCAAAAATAACAGATGCCCCTGTATTTACTACCCAGATTCAGAAGGGGCTAACATTTTGCCACATTTGATTCCAAATTCTTTATAAACAAATAAAACTTCAGTTACAGCTGAAGCTCTAAGCTGTGCTTCCCCTTCCTTCCCTTTTTCTCACCCTTCAGAGAGAGAAGCTGCTTCATGTAATGTATATATACTATTATGTGTATCTAGTATTCCCATATGTATTTTTATTTTTTACTTTTCACTGCATTTGTATGATTCTTTAAGCAACATAAAACACTGTTTTGCATAGATGTCAGTATACACTAAGTGTGTCTTTTCACACTAGCTTCCTTCATTCAACAGTATGTTTTTGAGATTGCCCATGTTCATCTGTCCATTCATTTTAACTACTATACGGCATTCCATTGTATGCATCAATCCACAATTTTTTAACCATTTAGTCCCTTACTGCAAAGCAGGATTTTGCCCATTTCCTCCTATTATGAAGAGTGTTGCAGTGAACATCTATCTGAGTACATGCACAGGTGTGAGAGTCCCCCTGGGCAGACACCTAGAACAGGGAATGTCTGGGTACATGCATGTTGGTTAGTCCCTGGGCAGATACCTAAAACTGAAATTGTGCACATCTTCACCTCAGCTGGATGAGATCAAATTATTCTTCAAGCGACTGTACACATTTATATTCCCACCAATAACAGATGAGACTGCCTGTATCTCACATTTTCATCAACATTTGATCTATTTAGGGATTTTTGTTATTTATTTCTACCTTAATTACCTTGTGATCAGATAATAATAAGGTAGATATGCTACCAGTTTTGTGATATCTGTTGACACCTGAGTTGTGGCCTAGCAACAGTCACTATTTGTTGATTTTCAATGGGTGCTGGAAAAGAATCTGTATTCTCTAATGGATGAGTGAAAAGTACTTTGTGGATATGATGGTAGTTCAAGCTTATTAACTATCTTCATCAAATCTCCTCTATTAGGAATTTTCGCTGAACTATCAGTTGCTAAGATAGGTTCTTTGAAATCCATCACTGTGGTTGTGAAATGATTTATTTCTCCTTATTATTCTGTCATGTTGTTTTCTTATGTGATTTGAAGTTACACTGTTAGATGTAATCAGTTAGGCTTGTTATGTCTTCATCGTGAATGCTTCGTTTCATCGTTTGTAATGCGTGCTTGTCAAGGTGATACTTCCTGCCTGAAAGTCTTTTGTGTGATCATAACACAAGGGCATCTTTTGTTTTATCTCTTACCATCCCTTGACTTTGACCATGTTGTTAGGTGAATCTCCTAAAAACAGAATGCACCTGAATTTCTTCGTGCTCAGTATAAAAATCTTTGTTGTTGGTATGGTTGCTACTATTAAGATTTATTTTACTATCTTATTTTGTGTTTTCCATATATTATATCTTTTTCTTCCCTTTTTTGCTTGCATTTTATTGGAATTATAGGGTCTTCTGTACTAACCCTTTCTCTATTGATTTAAAAGTTATGCATTCTGTTTGTATTCATCCAGTGGGGTGTGCATAACTTTTTTTTTTTTTAATTTTTATTGTGATTTGGGTGAAAGTTTACAGAGCAAATTCATTTTCCATAGCAGTTCACATATACTTTGTCTCATGTCATTGACTGCAATTTCCCTCAATGCAACAGCTCTCTTCCTACTTCCTTCCCATAGTTACTGCTTCGCTGTGTCCTTCCCTCTCATGTACTCCTGCCCCCTGAGCTGTCTCTCTGTGCATACACAGCCCTTCTATTCTCCCATGACTGGTCTCTCCAAGGAATGTATCTACCTAATGTAAATGTTCAGCTCATTTGTCTTTTGTTTGGCTGGAAGCCACGGAGTGGGTTCAGTTCCAGACCTGAAGGGCAGCTAGGGGTCATAGTCTCAGGGGTTCCATTAGCCTCTATCAGACCAACAAACCTAGAGCCTTGTGTGTGTGTGTGTGTGTGTGTGTGATTTTGAGTTTTGCTCCATATTGTTCTCCCACTCAATCCAGGTGTGCATAACATTTTAACTTCCATAGTTGACTCAACATTGTTTAGAAGTAATCGATAGTTTTGTCTTTCTCTGAAAAAGTACTAAGAACGTGGACTGTATTTCCCCTTCCACATTTCATATTAGTGTCTTTTAGAATTATAATTCCCCATGTTTTAAAATCCACCTGATTTAGTCATTATTATTAATTTATACAAGCAATGTTTTTCACAGTCTTTTCTATGACTTTTTGTATTCAGGTTCTTCCTTTTGGGTTCAATTTCCCTTTTCTTGAAGTATGACCTTCAGTTTTTCTTCCACTTACAGCCCATTAGTGGTTAAGTTTCTCAGTTTTTGTTTGTTTTTCTTTCCACTCCTAAATAATGGTTTCACTGCTGTTCTGGACATGGTATCATTGCTAGAGCAGATTAGTAAGACCTTGGGTACATAGTATGCAATTTGCTGTAAAGGTCCTCTTTAATGTGTTAAAAAGCAAAGATATCTCTTTGAGGACTAAGGTGCACCTGATCCAAGCCATGGATTTTTCATTGCCTCATATGCATCCCAAAGCTGCATAAAGAATAAGGAAAGCTAGAAGAACAATTGAATTATGCTGTTGGCGTAGAATATTAAAATAAACCATGGACTGCCAGAAGGATGAGCTAAACTGTCTTGGAAGAAGTGCAGCCAGAATACTCCTTAGAAGCGAGGAAAGCAAGACTTCATCTCACATACTTTGGACATGTCATTAGGAGGAACTAGGCCCTGGAGAAGGACCTCATGCCTAGTAAAGTAGAGAGCCCGTGAAAAAGAGGAAGACCTTCAGTGTAGTGGATTGACACAGTGGCGCAACAGTGGACTCAAACAGCGATGATTGTGAGGATGGTGCAGGACTGGGCAGTTGTTTTTTTCCAGTGTACATAGGGTCAGTGTGAGTCAAAAGACACTCGATAGCACCTAAAAACGAGAAGACATTGTATGTGGCCATTAATTTGGTGAATGTATGCTATTAGAATTAGAACAGAATATCTGAAACAGTTTGTATTCATGTGGGGTGGACAATATTTATTTACAGTTCTGCCTGAGGATGTACTTAGGCTCCCACCCTGTGTCATAGTATAGTCCAAAGAGGTCTTGCCATTCCACAGATTGTTAAGCTGATCCATACAGTGATGGCATCCTACTCATTGGTTAGGATGGAGAAGAGGTGACTGTTATCCTGGAGGCCTTGATAGGACACCTGCACTCTAGAGGGTGGGAGATAAGCCCTGTGGAGATTTGAGGAATAACCACTTACATGTCCATTGGTCAGGAATCTGCTGAAATATTCTTCCAAAGTGAAATATAAATGGGTAATCTTGAATCATCTGCCACAAACAAGGAAGGCAACACATTCCACACCTACATTGCTTTAACCCACATACCAGGTAACATATAAGGCTGCCAACTTTAAGGAAGGGGCCCAGTAGCAGCCCTAAGCCATATGATAATCAGTCTTGGCACTTGGGCCATATGGTTGAGCAGATCCTATAGTGTTGGAGGTGTCAGTGGCAAGGAGAAGTGCATTATAGTGCTCATGACAAGCTTCAGTTGGAGAATACATGGCCAGTCCATGGGATTCTTGATCAGGGGCATGCCATTCACAGCAGAGAATTTTACCTTCTTTGAGAAATACCCCTTGATGCCTCATTGAGATAGAAAGTTTGATCATGAGCCATGCATCTGGAGCTGCCCGTGAAGAGCTGGATTTGCTTGGATTGCCACATCAGTGTTAAACGGGCCCACTGGTAATCCATTGTAAGCTGGAAAAAGTGAATTTGGGATCTAGCCTTAAGCAGAACTTGAAGACAGGAGTAAGCTGAATAAGAGGTGGCCCAGACCTCAGTCTCCCACCACAATTGTACCAATGCTCTTTCCTTGGCTTGCAGCTGTGGCTGTGCGAGCAGCTTGTATGACCAGCTGAAAATAAGGAAAAAAGCAAACTTGCTCCAAGGATGGTCATTTCTCCAGTCTCTGCATAATTAGAATTGATGTACTTGGCAAATGGCGAAACTCCCACACTGAGTCCAGAGCTATCAGATGACCCTAGGGAAAAAGCCATCCTGAGTATCATACTCACCCTTCTTATTCTAATATATTGGCCCCATAACATGTTTTTAGTATTTTGTCTAGTTTTTATAGTTACCTTCAACATTAGTTTTAAACCACCAGTGTCCTGCTACCAAATGCAGATGTTTCACTGATAAACTGTTCATCTCATTCAAATCTATTATTAACCCCCATTGAACATTTAATTTCAGTGACTGTATCTCTCATTTCTAGAAGCTCTTTTTTTCCATATCTGCCTGTTCTTTTTACATAGTGTCTTGTTCTTCCCTTATTGTTTCTATTCATTTTATCTCTTTAATCATTTCAGTTGTACTTAATTTACAGTCTTTTTTAGATTATTTTTCTGTTTATTAGTTTTGAAGTGCTTATCCCTCCTTAGGAGCGCTGGTGGTGTAGTGCCTAAAGCATTTGACTGCTAACCAGAAGGCTGATGGTTCAAACCCAATAGCTGCTCCCTGGAAGGAAGGCTGGGCAATCTACTTCTGTAGTGATACTGCCTCGGAAACCCAAAGAGGGGTCGCTATGAGTCAGGTCCAGCTTTGTTTTTGTTTGGTTTTTGTATCTATCCTTTATGTCGGTTATGCCTGCTGAATTTCCTTGTGGTATTTTATTTCCTTCTGCGTTTTATAATTTTGTTTGTTGGCTCATTTTCAACTGGGTTTCTTTTTCTGCAGGACTCCAGTAAAGCCTAGCTTGTATAGTTCGGTTCCTACAAAGTGGTTTTACACTTAATTCTCTCAAGTGTCAAGTGATACCATATCATTGGCCCATGAAAATAATGTGCTCTCCTCTTGGAGAAATGTGAATTAGGCTTCGAGCCTGTATGGGATGCAGGTCTAGGGTTCCAGTTTCTCATAGAATTCTGCTTTCATTTCTTTCCATCCAGAGCCCCAGGCAAGACAATGTTCCTTGTCGTTTCTAGTCTGCCTTTCTTGGTTGGCTTAGTTCTTTAAGAGCCTGGGCTGTTCATAGATGTCTGAGTTCAATTTCTCACCTCTCACAGAGCCAAGAACTCATGTGAGCAACAAAACCTAAGCTATAGGCAGTGTTTCGTTCTGTTGTACGTGGGGTCACTATGAGTCAGAACTGACTCAGTGGCACCTAACAACAGTCCTTTGTTTTAGGTCCCAAAGGTACTACAGCTTAAGCCACATGCTTTCAACTCTAATTTGCAAATTCTTCTGCATTTTTGGTACCTGAGGATTACTCGTATCTTTCATCTGTGTTCAGCTATGTATTTGAAGGAAGAAAACAACTGCATCCAATGATAGTGGATGGGCATCTGTTTAGCTTAGCCTGCCACACTTCCAGAACCAGAATTTCCATTGACTACTGATTATTCAGGAGCTATGGTAGCATAGTGGCTAAAGCACTTGGCTGCTAACCAGAAGGCTGGCGGTTCAAACCCACCAGCCACTCCTCGGAAGGAAGATGGGGCAATCTACTTCTGTAGTGATACTGCCTCGGAAACCCAAGGAGGGGTCGCTATGAGTTGGGGCCCACTCGACGGCACATAACAACAACAACAACTGATTATTCATCAACTAATTCATTGAACTAACTAATTAACTTTGAGAGGCCAAAAAACTTGCATTTGAACACCCGTTAGAGTACTCTTTGTTTGTGCTTTTGCAGTCATTTTTATGCTACCCCCAACCAGTGGCTCAAAAGAAATGTCATAAAGACAGCCCACAGTGGAGTACAACTGAGGAAAAAGCATAAAAGTGTATCATTAGGCGCTGTCCCTCGTTAGCTGGCTGGCAAGGGGAAAAATATATATTAATTTTATTGGATAGTTTTGTAATTAATAAGGCACTCTGGTGGTGTAGTGAGTAAGATATTTGACTGCTAACCAGGAGGTGAGTGGTTCAAACCCATGAGCAGCTCTATGGGAGGAAGCTAAGGCAATCTACTTCCGTAAAGATTTACAGCCTTGTAAACGAAGGAAGATGGGGCAATCTACTTCCATAGTGATACTGCCTCAGAAACCCAAGGAGGGGTCACTATGAGTCGGGTCCGACTCAACGGCACATAACAACAACAACAACAAAACCCAGCGGGGGTCAGTATGAGTCAGAATCAACTCAATGTCAGTGGGTTTGGTTTTGATTTACTATAATTAATATTTGTTTTCATTTATTCTGTAGATTTAAAAGGATAATAACTCTAAGGCAAGCAGTGCTGTAACAAGTTGATGGTAAATGCCTTAAATTAGATAGATGGTATTGCTGAAATTCAAACTAGTCAGAAAAAATAAAACTTTAAATTTAGAGAGATCAGGGTCCTTACCTGTCTTCATGAATCACTCATTTTATTTTGTATATCATTGAAATTTCAAGCTACTGAATTTCATAACTAATGAAAATAGAATAAAGACATTTTACATGCCTCCCCAGGCCCCTTCATTTTTCCACTATCTGTAAGACTGAATTGGCTTACTGAATATCTGTTTTATGGTAGATTGTAAAACTGCCGATCATCCTCCACAGTAACCCGACATTGGTGTTTTCCTTTCTGTTGCTTTACGGCATCACGACTATCCTCTTTGCCTTCATGCTGACTACCTTCTTCAGTAAAGGTAAGTCCAGAAATCTCTTTCTGCAAAGTCTTGAGTCATTTTCATGGACCCAACAGGAGCATCTTTGGAGCACTATGAAAAGATGGAACAGTTCTTCCCCCATGTTGAATTTGGATGTAAGCCTCCCTGCAGTTGTCTGATTTTCTTTCCCATCTGTTCTTCTTGCCCAAGCAAGGTCCTCTTCAGCTTCTGAACCTTCCCCTAACCCTCAGGCTACCCTTAAGCTGAATCCTTTTAACTTCCTGAGATCTCTGTGACTCAAACACTAGTAAGTTCTTCCTTAATGGCTGCCCCATTAGTCTGTGTTGTATTCAGTTTAACTGAAGCACATTTACCAAATTTCAGTGGGATTAGATTTCTTTTCCTTTTATAGATACCATGAAGTCCTAAATTCCTGGCAGTTCCAATTTCAAAGACAGTGTCCTTACTATTCATAAATACTTTATTTGTGAATTCACCTACTTGCTAAAATTTATTTATAACTACAAAATCCATCATTGTTGGGGGTTTTTGTTATTTATTTATTTATTATTTATTTTGGTTTATTAGTTCCCAGCCCTACTCACTTACTCAGATTCAAGTGTGAAGAATAATTATATTTTTATAGTATATCATGGCTTCAACATGGAGTGTATATATGTGTGTATGTGTATACACACACACACACACACACACACATATATATATATACACACACATATATATACTGCATTAGCAAAGATACCTCACATTCTTTACTTTCCATTCATAAGAACATGAAATTATTAGAACAGTATTCAGTTTTTTCAGAGACATTAAAAAAAAAAACCTCAAACTCAACTGCCATTGTAGCAGACCTGACTCATAGCGACTCCTCCTTGGGTTTCCAAGGTGGTATCCCTATGGAAGTAGATTGCCCAGTCTTCCTTCTGAGGAGTGGCTGGTGGGTTTGAACCGCCAGCCTTCTGGTTAGTAGTCAAATGCCTTAGGTACTATGCCACCAGAGCTCCTTATTAACCACACCAAAACTTAGGAACAACAGAATAGGAAAACCTTTGTGGTGAAGGGTTTTATTTCTAAAAAATTATCCATGTTATCTTTTAATATTCCTGAAATTTTATAATTTTACTAATAGGTGTATAATACTATATCTTGCTTGCCCTCAAAATAAATTTCACATTATTACATACAGTCCTTAAATAGTGTGGCCTATCACTTGTTTATTTCTTTTTCTTCCAATGATTAGTTCATTTAGACGAGTCCCTAGAGGAACAGTTCTCTACTTATTAATTACTTTAGTTACTGGACTAGTATCAGTTTTTAAGAAATAGTCTCCTTCCCATTTGCTTTACATGTTCTTTTGAGTATTGCATTTCTTAAAAACAAAAAACTGTATAAGACCAAAGGGTCACCAGCTATTTTAAAGCATAGATGAGAATGTTGGCATCCAGGGAGATTAAGTAAATGGAAGTGAAACAAAATAACGATGCAGCAAGTAGTGAGAATGGACATAAGGAACCAGCCAAGAGGTTACCTTGACTTACTCAGTCAGTGTTCACCTTTACGTAAGAAAGGGGCCAAATAAAAAGATTTCTCAAAAAAAACAAAGCAAAGTTATTTTAAGCATCTGTTTCTACAGAAAACAAACTAAAGACTGTTGTCTTGAAACCACTGATAGGAGCAGGTAAATTGTATACCTGGTTGAAATGGGAAATGTGTAGGTGATAGTCAAGGCAAATCCAAATTCACTTCTTGATCATTGTAGATTTAGATTGAAAAAACTGACTACTGTAAACCCGTTTCCTCACCACAGTAGCTTTCAAAACCTATTCTCTTTAAGCATCAAACATGTATTATGCTAACTTCCTAAATAAGATTTTTGTCTCTATCAGTTTGCTTTTACTCTGGATTTTCAGACATACAGACTATTTAAAAGAAAGTAAATACTATGGAAAATTGCAACACTCACAGATAATAACTGTTAATATTCTGAAATCTCTCCAGTTGTCTATTTCTATTATACATACATGTAGAATTTTAGTTAAATTATGTAATATATTTTATTCTTAAACTTAATCCTTTCAATAAATGTATAATTATAAATCTTCATTTAAATAGCTAAATTATTATCTTTTAAAGTACTGTTATTTCTTCAATCAGTTACCTATTGAAATTATTTGAAAAAGTTTGGAATTAACATCTTTTTCATAGATCTTTCAAACTTGTGAAATTATTTCCTTTAAGTAAATTCTTAGGAACATAAATGGGCCCCTTATTTTAATGGATATAAATGTTTATAATTTTTCTAGAAGTATGGTTTCCCAAAGTAACACTCAGTACTACAAATAATGGATTTGGTAAATAAACAGATGTTGTTGTTGTTGTTATGTGCTGTCGAGTCGAACCTGACTTATAGCAACCCCTCCTTGGGTTTCCAAGGCAGTATCACTATGGAAGTAGATTGCCCCATCTCCCTTCTGCGGAGAGGCTGGTGGGTTTGAACCTCCAGCCTTCTGGTTAGCAGTCAAGTGCCTTTAGGCACTACGCTACCAGAGCTCCTAAATAAACAGATGCTTTAGTATAAAATTTAATGTGCTATAGCACAAAAAATGATGTCCAGTTTTTAACTGTGTTTTTTAATACTCTCCATTCTTTTCCTTCAAATTTGCAGCAAACACAGCTATTGCCATTGGAGGTTTCATCTATTTTGTGTCGTATCTCCCATATCTCGTCATTAGTCGTCACTATGTTCGGATGACTTTTCAAAGGAAACAGTTTTCCTGTCTCTTGCCAAATGTTGCCATGACATTTGGGATCAATCTTCTAATTAAATTTGAAAGTATAGGTGAGTATTTTCCTTTTCAAATTTTAATTGTGTTAGTTAATTCTTTGGCCATACTGAGAAGTGATGAGCATTGGAATCCTCTATTGTTGAGTGATATTTAAAGAGAACTTTTAATGGTTTTTAGATAAACCAAACCAAACCCATTGATTTGCCCCATAGGGGTTGCAAGGCTGTAAATCTTTAGGGAAGCAGTCTGCTACATCTTTCTCCTACAGAGCAGCTGGAGGGTTTGAACCAGCCCTTTTGGTTGGTTGTCAAGTCTTTAACCACTGTGCCACCAAGAAAAATAACTTGATGGTAATTTTTTTTGGGGGTGGTGGTGCTTAAAACAACAGAAATTTATTCTCTCGTAGTTCTAAAGACCAAACCAAAACCAAACCTGCTACCATAAATCGATTACAACTCACAGCAACACTATAGGGCCCGGTAGAATTGCCCATAGGGTTTCCAAGGCTGTAAATCATCATGGAAGCAGACTGCCTCATCATTCTCCAATGGAGTGGCTGGTGGGTTAGAACCACTGACCTTTTGGTCACCAGCCCAATGCTTTAAACACGGCTCCACCAGACCTCGTTTTTTCTAAATGCCAGTAGTTTGAATTCAGGGTCTCTAAAGGGCCATGCTGTCTTTGAAGGCTCTAGATGAGGATGTTTCCTTGCATCTTCTAGCTTCTGGGAGCTCCGTGCATTCCCTGCCTTGTAGATGCATCATAATTCCAACCTCTGCCTTTGTTATCACATGGCATTCTTCACTATATATGTGTGTATCTTTCTGTGTGTCTGTTCCTCTTCTTGCGAGGACACCAATCATACTGAGTTAGGAGCCACCCTTGAAAGGAAGATTGGGCAATCTGCTTCCATAGTGATACTGCCTCGGAAGTACAAGGAGGGGTCCTTATGAGTCATCCGTAGAAATTTAAAAAAAAAAAAAATTTAACTTTATTGTGATTTGGGTGAAAGTTTACAGAGCAAATAGAGTTTCCATTCAACAATACATACACATTTTGTTTCATGTCATCCCACTTCCTCCCTGTGCTGCTCATTTTCATTCCTCTTCCATTCCTAACCCTTCCTGCCCTCTGAACTTCTTCCTTGGGCAAATGCTGCCCTTTTGATCTTGAATGGTTGATTGCTGTAAGGAATTCTACCTCTTTTGTGTTACTGTTCACCCTATAGACCTGTCTATCATTTGAAAACTGAGCCATGGGGGATACTTCAATCCCAGGTCCAAAGACTGAGTAAGGGCCATAGCTCAGGAATTCCACCACTCTACCCACCAGCCACTCCTTGGAAGGAAGGTTGGGTAATCTACTTCCATAGTGATACTGCTTTGGAAACCCAAGGAGGGGTTGCTATGGATCAGGTACAAGTCCACAGCAGTGGTTTTGGGGTTTTTTTGTGGTTTTTTCTTTTTTTTTTTTTTTTTTGGTATCAGACCAGTAAGGCTGCTCTCTTGCAATTCTGAGTTTATTCCCACATCTTTCCCCTGTTCTATCCATGATCTTCTACTGTGTTTCCTTTTAGAGTGGTTGGTACTGGTAGCCAGGCACCATCTAGTTCTTCTGGTCTCAGGATCGTGGAGTTTCATGTGGTCCATTAGTCCTTTGGACTAATTTTTTCCATGTACATATAATTTTCTTCATTCTTCTTTGCTCTGCAGGGGGAGAGACTAATAGTTGTACCTTAGATGACTGCTCATGAGCTTTTAAGACCCCATTCATTACTCATCAAAAGAGGATATGGACTATCTGTGTGTGTGTGTGTGTGGACTATGTTGTACCCGTGAACCTTGACGTCCCCTGAGACTATGATCCTGAGCCTCCAGGACCATCAAATCATTTCCTCAAGGTTTTTGGTTATGGCTAAGAAGTTTTTATAACTTTGCCCCCGTATGCTCTATTATATTCTTAAATATCTTTGCAGCATATATAAATGCATATGTAGAAATAAGCTCTGTCAAACCTGTATATGTTCACGGGTATAGTCCCATTCTCCTTCCCACCCCTTTCAGCTGGAGTGTCTACTCATAGATTATGGTATTACTGTTATTACAGGATTGTATATGTATTAGTATTTACCTCTGTTGTGTTCCTCCCAGTGTCTTCCTCTCCTTTGATTATTTTTTGCAGACCTCCCCCGTATTGTATATTGCCTTCCCCTTCACTCAAGATAATAATATGTGTCTACCTTCTGTTGTTGTTGTTGTTGTTAAGTGCCGTCGAGTCGTTTCCGACTCATAGCGACCCCATGCACAGCAGAACGAAACACTGCCCGATCCCACGCCAGCCCCACAATCCCTGCTATACTTGAGCCCATCATTGCAGCCACCATATCAATCCATCTCCTTGAAGGCCTCCCCCTCTTTCATC